AAACCAAGAAGTAAATATATAACTCGCGCGAGGGCGCGGTATTTTTGGTTTTCATCGAGACTTCTTATCACTAAAAATAAACGGAAGCCTCGAGTAAGTACAGTAATAATGTATATTATAAGACCGTAGATTTATATCGAGCGGTGAATTGCCGCTCGAGATAAATCTGTCGTTTGTAAACAGCAATAAATTCGACGAACCGAATCGATACACTGGGGGGTATAAACAATAAAAAGAAGTTCGTCGCTCCTTCCCCGAACCTTGCTTGAACGTTGTGAGACGAAATGCAATACAAAAGTATACTAAACAATTGTTATCAGTATATATTATAGTATACATATATCTGCCGTTTATCGAGTGGATAAGACACGTCACGATGAAACGTTAAAACGAAATTATAAAATTAAACTTTAAGTTTACACGTCATATTCATTGCCTTTAATCAAATTTCGGAAAAAAAATTTTTCATATTCAATTCTATAATTTTATACATATAAGTTTATAGATTTATTCGTGCTTTTGTATGAAAACATTTTAAAAGGAAAAAAATTGCTCATTTATAATTATATATTACTTTGTACAATTGCACATAATTATACAGGGTGTCCCATTTTAACTTGGACAGTAAAATATCTCGAAAACTGAGCCCAGCAGACTAAAATGTTTCAGACAAAAGTTGTTTAGTTTCGAGAGGACTATAAGATGGTACCATTGGTTTGACCTTGAAGAATTATTTGAAGGTCACATAAAGGTCACACCAATTTTTATAAATGGCATCCCCTATTTTTTATTACATATTCTTGTAGCTGACCCCGAGAGCTTTCCAAAACGCTATAATAAAGTATTTTTTATTAAGAACTTTTTGAGTTATTAAGGTTCGAAAGTTCCAATATTTTGACATAAATTACAAAATATCTTGTAAAATATTAATTTTTTTATCATCTTATCTTAATACTTCTTTGAACAGAATAATGAGACAAATCAACCGGTGTAAAGAAAACACAATTGTTAAAAAAAATGTTTTTATTACTTGTTACAAAATTGTTTTCTTTACACCGGTTGATTTGTCTCATTATTCTGTTCAAAAAAGTATTAAGATAAGATGATAAAAAAATGAATATTTTACAAGATATTTTGTAATTTATATCAAAATATTGGAACTTTCAAACCTTAATAACTCAAAAAGTTCTTAATAAAAAAATACTTTATTATAGCGTTTTGGAAAGCTCTCGATCAAGAATATGTAATAAAAAATAGGGAATGCCATTTTAAAAAATTGGTGTGACCTTTATGTGACCTTCAAATAATTCTTCAAGGTCAAACCAACGGTACCATCTTATGGCCCCCTCAAAACCAAACAACTTTGTCTGAAATATTTTTGTCTGCTGGGCTCAGTTTTCGAGATATTTTACTGTCCAAGTTAAAATGGGACACCCTGTATATGGTATGCAAGCATAAATGTCTACACTCGAGTGAATTACGACTGTTGCGACGCGGGATCTCTTCCGAGATCATCCCGCATCCCGCCCAGTGAGAAATGATTCGTCGATCGACGTTGAAATGATGTCGAATTGACGTCAATTCGACGTCGTTTCGACGTCGATCGACGAATCATTTCTCACTGGGACGCACGAGTGTCCAAGTCGAAAAACGGGGAAGGCGGCACCCTCCGACGGGAAGTCGTCGAGATCACGCGAACCGCCAGCTCGGCGCCACGTCGCGTTGGCAAGTCAGCGATCTGGCAGGTAACTTTACGGTACCGGAGAGGCGTACCGGGCGTACGGTCACTACGGTCGCACGACTGCGATATCTTCCCCTCGCGAGTGCGACAGCGCAACGTGGCCATGTGGCTTCGACCGCGCGCGATATAAGGTCGAGGATTCGCGCGATTCCATGCGAGCTCGCGCGACACGAAGCGCTGCCGGATGACAACAACAACAACAACATCGCAGCAACGACGGCAACAACAACGGCAGCAGCAGCGGCGGCGGGACAGGGTATGAGCACGTTGTGCCCCGCGGCCGGGAAACTAGTCGAATCTTGTTGCGAGTAACCGCGAATGACACGACTGCTCTGAGAATGCAGTCGCCAACGAGGAACGACGGCCTGCCGGTCGTCCTGCTGCTTCTGCTCGCCTCGGGCTCGCACTGCCTCGAAGTGATATACGCGATCAACGCGGGCGGCGAGTCGCACACGGACAGCTACGGGATACACTACGCCAGGGATCCTCTCATGAGCAAGGTCGGCACGGCCTCCGATTACGGTAAGCAGCTCATCATAGGGCGTATCGGCAACGTGGACCAGATACTGTACCAGACCGAGCGCTATCATCACAACACCTTCGGATACGACATACCGATCAGCCAGGACGGCAACTACGTCATGATACTCAAGTTCTGCGAGGTGTACTTCAACTCGCCGAACATGAAGGTGATTTTCTCCGCCAGGCGGACTCGTCCCGTCGAGAACTGTGCCCACCTTGGTTAGACGTTTAATGCACAATTCTGTTCCAGGTCTTCGACGTCGTGCTGAACGGCGATCACACTGTGGTCACCGACTTGGATATCTTCGAGAGAGTCGGCCGGGGCGTCGCGCACGACGAGTACGTCCCGTTCAGGGTACAGGGTGGAAAGTTGATATACAATGATGAGGAGTCGGACATTCTCGCGGGGAAGATAAGAGTAGAATTTATAAAGGTAGCCGATCAATTTATTTCGCGAGCACACGTGCATTAGTACATTTCTTGATTTTGCAGGGTTACAGGGACAATCCGAAAATAAATGCCATAGCTGTTGTGAAAGGTGTTTTGGATGGTTCGTATGCCTAAGCTTTAATACAGAAGATTTTTTTCGCGGTCGCAATGTTTTCACGCGAATACTTGTATTTCTCAGACGTGCCGCAATTGGGACCGATACCGCCTGATCCGGAGGACTACCATGGTATGCAAGAGGAGGAAGAAGAGACCACCTTGCGTAGCAGACACACGAGCGGGCCCAGGACGCCTGACCCGTACTCGATAGACGATTCGTCTGTAATGTTACCTGTTTTTATAGCCATCGGCGCTTTCATCCCATTATTGTTCTGTCTATGTAAATTATAAGCGGTAACACACGCACACGTGCATAGAAACGCCTTGTACTTAAACGGTAACAGTGTTCCCGATTATTTAGGCTCGCTCAGTTTACAAGAGGACGTCTAAATAGTGTAAATAAATAATCACTCGTCTAAGCTCCCTTGCGCCGCCAGATTTAGCGCGTGAGAATATTTATTAATTTAATAAATATAGATATATATATATTACCTGGGATATAAGTCCGCTTTCCGCACGTGATTATAGATTTTTGATATATTTTTAGGAGCATTGTTTTCTCGATGAACATTGATATAATTGTTCATTTAATTATTCACCGGGTACTTTCTTATAACCAGGTCTGAATCATAACTTAAGATTATACTAATTCTTAAGCTCATTCTTAGAATTAGAAAAGTAAATTTAGAAAATTTACACATACAATTGAATTATTTCATTTATAGCTGATATATTTGTTAAAATCCTTCAGTTTCCAATCGCGCGAGTTAAGAAAAATGATCGTTATACCCAAGCATTAATAATTGCTCCAAGAATAAATGGAAGTATGTGAGAATGGGACATATCTGGTGCAAATTGTGCTTAAACAAATCTCCAACCTTAATTTCAGTGATTCAAATTTCTGACAAGTAGATTCTTATTGCTAGAGACCGTCTCGATGAAATTTATTTATGACTTTTTAGTATGTATTCTTACATTTCTTGGCAACTAAGCTATTAAATTCCGAAAAAATTACATAAAGTATTATCGTTTAATCGCGACATTTTAACGTTTACAAATCTCTTTTTCATTTAATGGATTTTTTAAATTAAAAAAATGCTAATTCGATTTACAATTGTAGGTCTAACAAACAATCCCTTAGTAAAATTAACGTTGGAGATTCTGGGACACTCTGTATACTTGTGCTCTGCGTAGCAGATGTATATCTAAAACACATAAAACTTTAATAGACAACCTGATTGTCCCGGAAGTCAACATGTAAAATTCAGAAAATGGTCATTTGTGCCAGTGAAATTGTTTCATCATTGTTTTCCATATTTATTCCGAACTCTTGTCTTATATGTAGGTACCTCGTGATATCACGAGCATTTCCAACTGCTGTCAGCCATCGATTGGCAAAAGAAACGAAGGAAGTATGCGTTTCACCGAAATCGAAATCGACTGTTACCTTAGTTCTTAGTAATTACAACAATTTGATATCAATTTTCGCTCGTAATTCTTTTATTAACCAAACCCGTGTGTACGTTCCACAAACTGATCTCGAAAGATTTGGAAGTCAGTGTGGTATGGATTGCGTGATTTAAAAATAGACTTCTAGTTTATATAGGACCGTTATTGAAGTGGATCTTGCAAGGCGGACGGAGAATCCTATAATCCATTAAATACCAAAGTATTGGATTATCCCGTAAGTAATGCGGTTTTAAAGACACCTTTGAAATAAAACGAAAACACTTGAATTTTAATGCAAAATATATTTTCCATTGTTAATTGCTTCCCAGCCTAACTGTAATCTTTAATTCTTTGGCGATACAAGTCTTTCGGTTTAAGAGCCAAAGAGTGAATCAAATTTCCTTTTATACCACATTATTTACGAGATGATCTGATATGTCGAGTCGCGATATAATCTTTGGAATAAGTAAAACTGTTGTTACGTAAGACAATCCTTCGCGTTGTGCTCCCCTATTTACCGGAACGAGAACGAAGTCTCGAGTCGCGCTTATCGAACTGTTATCCTGTACATTATGTAATACGGACGGACTTCAACGATAACGTCTATCTGTACTGTCAGATAATTCAACCGAGCACGAATCTTATCTCGCCATCGATTCGTACGTTCTCCTTGGGGAGAAAATGATTAAACATTATTATTTGCTCTCGCCGCTCTTCGAATATTCATAATTTGATGTCATTTGTAGAATTTTCATATGCCACGCATCTTTGCTCTAGGCAGTCTTGAACGCTAGAACTGTCCAAGTCAAAGTGTGACCTGTAATCTTTTACAAAAGCACTCAAATTTATTTAACGGTACATTTTTTGGATCCTGCGTGATTTTTGCTGCAATTTGCATTGGATTATTTCATAAATAGTGCAGTATAAAAGTCAGTACAAATCCCAAGCCGAAAGCACCTTAATTATGGAAAACAAATTTGAAATCCTTCATTTCGACAGGGTGTTCTAATATTAAATAAGAAATGCATCGTCGACATTTCTCTCTAACGTCAATGAAGTTCTTAGGCCCGGTTTCACCAACGTCGCTTAACTTAAGAGGATGCTCGTCTGTTTTACCGACACATTCGAATATATAGTTTTTGGGCTGCTGAATCTTTTTATTAGTTTTTACGCCTAAAATAATACCAGGATAAGTTGCGGACCGCATAGCAGAACGTTTTTATACTTGAAACACTCGGGTCAGAAGTCTAATGAGAAAGATATTGGTATTTGAAATTTTCAATTTTTTAATCGTGAGCAATTTGAATTTGGCTTTATAAAATTACAAAATTCTTCCACGCGATTACAGTACGCGTCAAAACAAAGCGGGGGGTTCACGACTTTATATAAAAAACGAAGAGAAATTAAAAATATCGCTTTATAAGTAATTGTGGTTAGGCTTCACATGCTAATATTTTTAATTTCTCTTCGTTTTTTATATAAAGTCGTAAACCCCCCCGCTTTGTTTTTACGCGTACTGTAATCGCGTGGAAGAATTTTGTAATTTTATAAAGCCAAATTCAAATTGCTCACGATTAAAAAATCGAAAATTTCAAATATCAATATCTTTCTCATTAGACTTCTGACCCGAGTGTTTCAAGTATAAAAACGTTCTGCTATGCGGTCCGCAACTTATCCTGGTACAATATTATTTTAGGCGTAAAAACTAATAAAAAGATTCAGCAGTGCAAAAACTATATTCGAATGTGTCGGTAAAACAGATGACTTTAGCATCCTCTTAAGCTCAGCTTAATTCATTCTTTGCCTCTTCCCGTTACTTTATGAAGAGACAAACGTGAGTTAAACTACGATTAAAGTTAAGCGACGTTTGGTGAAACCGGGCTATGTAATGATCGTATATTCGGTATCTTGCGCGTTACACTTGCAGCGTCGAGGAGGGAAAGGACGAAGAGGAGGAATCGTTGGGTCTCGGACAGACGTAACGGCGCGCGGAGGAGCATCGTCGACCAGCATCGATCGCGCGGCTGTTCGCGAGAACCGCATTGGCAAACGGGATAGTGTATTGTACCTACACGTAGGTACAATAAATTCAATTGAGCGTCCCCGCAACGTAAAGAATCGTGCGTTCTTTAATGGGGAACGAGCTCATTCATCCCGCGTGAGACGGCGGGAGGTCACGTGACGTCGGCGCGGCGCGGCGCGGCGCGTCCTCGCCTCGCGTCGTCGAAGTCTTTGATGCGCGCTCATCACCGGCAATTAGCTGTCAATTCATGCGGCCGTACTTGTGCCATGGTTTCGGGACAGCCGGGACCGGCGGGATCCGCGAGGCGTCCACCCTTCTCTCTTTCCCCGGCCCCGCGCGACTCCTCTTTTCTCTCCGTCCTTGGAGCGGAGAACGCGGCCAAGTGCTTACTTGTAACGCCTCTTATCCGTATCAGCGACTGGCGCGATGCATCGGAGATCAAACGCCTCCTCGCACGTAAGTGCAGTAAGCCGCCCATCGGTCGCCGGCAGATACGTTGAATAACAGCGTTTTCGTCTCGATCGGAGATCAACTCTCGTCGAGTGACCGTTGGGGAGCGAAGAAAGCTTGCTCCTCGATGCTCCTCTCCGCTCTTGAGGCTACTCGTCTTGGAGTGTCCGTCACGTTGATGAGGAGAATTTTCTTTTTTTCTGGAATGTAAAATATTTCTTTCTCGCTCGAGAATGCTAAGCTTTAGCTGAATAGACTGGTAGACTCCTATATTCCAGTACTGTCGGGTTTAAGGATGTATCGGACGTATCTTCAAAATTATAGTACAAAGTCGCTAAAAATTTGTGAAATTGTTCTTTTAGTCTTCCTAATTTATTGCAGAAAAGTAAGAATGCATCCACTAAACGGCTGCTGAGATATAACTATTTTAATTTG